TTAGAGTCAGGATCTCCTTAATCTACCAGACCTCTTCTTACCCCCCACCATTCACCCACTTACCCAGACAACATGCTTCAGCCTCACTATGCAGAGCTACTAACATTCAGCTTCCCACCTTTGCTGGACTTAACTATGACTCCAGCCCAGCAGGGATTCTGACCTTTGCAACTCTTTTTGAAGCCAGACTTGGAAATCAGCTCCTCTTCCAAAGGCAGCCTATTTCATGCTTTTCTGTGTTAAATAGACTTTGTTTAAATGGCCCATTGCTTGCAGCACATGTTCAGAGGATGGCTCTGTCTCTTGATTTAGGACAGGATGCCAAAAAACCAACAAGTAATAAATACCATTTATTGAAAAGACCGCGTGTGTTTGGCACTGTTCTGAGCACTTTATATACATTTTATATCAGTTCATCTTCGTAACAGTCATCCTTATAAAGACTGTTAGGATTTTTACAGATGAGGAAGCTGAGATTTAGAGAGATTAGGCAGCTTGCCCTTGGTGCCACAATAAGTCATTGCAGAGCGTTGGTCCATCTGTCTGCAAAGCCTGAGCTCTTAGTTGTCAGGCTGTACCACCTCACTCCTGTCCAGGTCACAGCCACTCTCACTCTCTCCATCTGTGTGGGCCTTGACATCACTGCCTGCTCCAGAGGCTGATGAGAGACCAGCTTCCCCAGCCTAAGTGCATAAATTTTAAGAAAACACATTATCCAGAGATAATTATCCAGTTCCTGTGACAGATTAATGACAAGCAAGTGACCAAAGGAAAGGTGTTTTGGACTCCATTTGTACTTCTACCAAAATATCAAACACATGCATCAAGTTTCTACCTTCTCTCTAGTTCAAGATTTCTTAATCTGGGACCATGGATAAGCCTCAGCGGGCCCCTGAGCCCTCTGAAATGGTATGTAGGATGTTTTACTATGGGGGGAGAGGGGAAGTTGGCTTTTGTGCTCTTTTTAGGGGGGAGAAATCATGGGTCTCAAGAGACCTTCAAAGTGGTACAGTCCCTAAACAGTGGTAAGAATAACTGTGCTAATTCATAATTGCAAAGATATGGAATCAGCCTAAGTGCCCACCAATTGATGAGTGGATAAAGAAAATATGGTGTGTTTGTGTGTGTGTCATGGACTTTTGCGTGAAAGAGAAATAAACTTCTATTGTCTTTAAAAAAAAAAAAATCACTGCGCTAATTGCAACAGTGTATAAAATTGATTTTACCTAAATTACAAATCCCATCTTATCCTAGGAATTTGTTAGGGTTCTTTTCTCCCTGAAAGTATGTTTAAACAGAACAAGGATAGAATTTCAAATTTAATCTTCTTTGAGAGCAAAAATACCTCTATGTGTGAAGCTGTGATTTCCAAAGCCTTCTGATAGGTGTTGGCTAACAGTGGGTATGATTCAGAGCTCTGGGGCTGAATCTGTAGCTTCCCCTGCTTCCTGAATTCAATTAAAATGCTATTTTTATAAGTAAGACACAAAATGAATCTTGGACTTTGAAGTCTCTGTTCATTAAGTATGTTCATGCTTACTATGTGAGGACATTAGGAATTTCACAATGAATAGGAATTCCTGCCCTCATGGAGTCTGCATATTGGGATCTATGTATGTCTTCATATCACTAATGCCCAGCAAATACTACATTGTAGTAGTGCTCAACTATTGGATAAAAAAAATGCCCTTACTGCATCCTTATTAGGTTAAAAGGAAGGCCTTTGGCTTTCATTTGTTCAACATCTGATTAGAGTCCCAGTTGCATTCTGGAGATGCAGTGGTAAGCAAAACAGATGTGACCTGTTTCCTATTGGGAAGACAGACAATTAAGTAGGCACCTAATAATTGTAAACTTGGACAAGTGCCATGGAGGCATTGACCTGATGCTATGAGAATACTCATGTATAACCAAAAGACATGGCCCGATAGGGGACGAAGGTTTGCTAAAGGTGGTGTTGGAGCTCTGATCTGAAAGGTGAATAGGAGTGAGCCAGGTGGAGGTTATCCAGGCAGAAAGAATAGGCTTGCATGTTCACTTTGGATGCCATTGCCATTTAGAAGAAAGGTCAATGCAAGGAAAAGCAGGGTCCTTTCTCATTAATTTAGCAGACATTTCTGGGCACTCCCTGTGTGCATGGGCGGGGGACAACAATGAGTGAAACACAGTTCTGGCCTGGAGAAGACACTGAGCATGTGACAGGCAGGCTGAGAGGTACTGGTCTGTCCTGGATGCAGCCTCACAAGGAGGCTTAAATTACTGCTTCTGCTGCTGGCACCTCCTGGTTCCCCATTCAAATGTCAGGCGGCAGTCTTTGTCTTGGGGTTTGGTGCCTCAGAGGTAGCCTGAGCTGGCTGGCTCTGGTATGCAGCCATCCTCGCTACAGAAGTCAGCATCAGCTGTGAACCCATGAGATCTATGGTGTTTTTTATTTATTTTGTGTTTGTGGTAAGAATGGAGGATGAGGTATTTAAGGGAGGGGAGAGGGAGAGAGAGACTGAGAACAAGTGAGGCTGAAGAATGGGAAGAGACTGAGCTGATAAAGAAATCAGAACTTTGGACCAGCAAACTCTGTGGAAGATTGCGGAGCTTTGTGTGTGCCCAGTCCTGAGAGATGACCTCTGAGGATTGATTCAGAAGCAAGGGACAGCATTAGCTAGAGAGATGATCACAGCTCTGTTTTAGAGAAGCCCAGGATAATGACGAGAATGATTTTGAAACAGCATTTTTGTTTTTCTTATTTATAAAAATAATTCATACTCAATGCAGAAACTTGGAAAATATGGAAAAAGTGAAAAGAAATACCCATAGCCTATCACAAAAATGTAAGAGGCAAATGAGAGGTTGTCCTGTGTAAAGGTTCCGGCATTTACCAGGTATTCAGCATACATTAACTGTTGTTATAGTGCTGAGGGAGAATCAACCCTTTTTTCTGTGAGGATAAGGCAGTTATAATACAGGTTAATGAAATATAGAAGAAATTATTTTGTAATTAGCCCTTTAAAATGTATATTTATGGGGGAAAATGTTAATTCTTCTTATCCCAGCATGAGAATGAAAAGTTGAAGTATCCTGAAGATTGGTGAAAATGTTTTAGAGGATTTGGTGTCAGTTGGTTTTTTAAAAGTGCGTAGGGAGCCTCATACCTGCTGCTGTCCCTTCCCACTCACACTGCAGAGCACGCTGGGATGACGTATGTGCTGCCCACAAGCCTCATTTATTTTCTGTTCTTCTACCATTGATCCATTAGGATTGTTTATAACACTTACTGATCATATAGACATTTTATTTAGGTGCTTTCTTTGTGGGTCACTTAGGTACACAATAAAAGTTTACCCCAGCATTGGCCTTAAACCAGAGAAGATCTGGATTTAAAGATGTTACTGTCCAGCTTGTACCTCACCCCAAATGTTGAATGTGCATCTTGCTATAGACTGTAGCCAGAGCATAGTGCTGTCTTCCTTCCTGCCCACCCCTGGGCAGCAGCCAAACTCCAGGAGTAGAGCTCTGATCAAAGCAGGGGTGTAAGATCCCAGCTAGGGGAGGTGTTCAGAGAGTCAGTGGGAGAGCAACACCAGGCAGCTCAAGTAAGACTGAAAGGGCATAACAGAACAGGGAACTGGAGACGCTGGCACCAGTGTGCCGCAGTGTGCCTATTCCATCACTTGTGTAGATCTCAGTGTCTTCATCTATGCAATAAGGAAGTTGGACTATACTAGCTCTGAGAGTTTCAGTAACCTGGACCTGGAGACCTAACAGGCAGGTTTACAGGTCAGCAGTTTAATGCTGATTATTGAAGCTTCAAGAGGGATGAATATTAGCTTTCTCATCATACTTTAAATAGTACTTATCAGTTTTATCGCTTTTATATCTCATAATTTTAAAAAATGTAATTTAAAAAAACACTGTAGTGAATGGGTTAGCAGTTTGGAAGAAGAAATCAAACAAAAGACAAACTACATCTTAGAGCCTTAGTTATGGTTTTAGATTGAAGAAAGAATGGGCCAGCCAGTAAAGAGGGGAAAAACCTGTGAGGTAGAAGGAAAGCCAAGAGAATAAAGGGAGAAAATATTTTCTAGGAGAAAAAGAAGTGGATTAGTTATGTTAAAGCATGAAAGTCGAGGAGTTTTGATGTCTAGTTGGGAGAGGTAAGATCCACTGGACAGAGTAAAACCATGGGTGACTTTCAAGAGGGTGCTTTCTGTACAGTAGTCAGAGCAAAAGCCTGATTTATAGAGATTAAGGAGGGAGAGATTATGAAGCAATGGACATGAAGATATAGGCCCGTGGTTTGCAATGGATGGTAAGAAAAGGCCTGAGAGAAAGGACAGTAGTTTGATGGGGTGAAAGGGCATCTAAGTGGAGTGGTCAGCAGAGCTGTGTTTTTAAGGGCCGAGAGAATTGTGCCTATTTGAAGGCAGCACAGAAGGAGCTAGTAGAGAGGAAAGGAGATAGAGAGGTGGTAGGGTGGTGAGGTGGCTACAGCTTGGACTTTGGATGGAGTCCAAACACATGGGCTCAAATCCTAGATCTGCCAGTTCCCTATTGAGTAACCTTGGTCAAGTTACATAACCAACTTCCTGATACCTCAGTTAACTTGCCTATAAAATGAGGATGATAATAGTGTACCTTATACACATGGTATGAGATCACAGATTTAAAGCATTTAGCAGCACTGCTGGTATGTGCTAAGTAAGATGGTGGCTTATTATTATTAGGACAAATAGGACCCAGAACTCACATAGGAGGTAGCATCTATAGGGTGTTCATTAAAGTATTAAGAACCAAATATCTCCAACAGAACCCTGGACACAGTAGTCATTGAGCAAGAATTTGGGGTCCTTGGCTTATACCCCACTCTGATGATTTCACTCCAAAAAAATAGGAAGCACGACTTCCATGGTTGCCCAGATCACCAGAAGTCTTGGTCTTCTGTGTAGGCACTGAAGTACCTACCATTTTCTGATACATCTTAATTTGTGCTATGATTTATCCTATAGATTAGTCAGAAGAAGTTGAAAAAATATGAAAAAGAGTATCACACCATGAGGGAACAGCAGGCCCAACAAGAAGACCCCATCGAGCGATTTGAGGTTTGTTTACTTAAGGCCTGGATGATGTGAGGAGCTTCCAGCCTTTCATTTCATATAATTGTGCCTGTAACTAGCTTTATACATTCTTTTTAAAATTCAGTTCCACTGTTTCTGGGTTCACGTTTCAGTTTGAGTTTACAAATAAGAAAGCAAGATCTGTTTTGCTTCAGACCAGCTGCCTAGTTTGTTACAGTTCAGTGGCCTTTCCTCATAGTTAAGTAGCTGCTTGACAAGGTCACTTAAATCAGTTAAGTATTTCTTTATGGAGATAGAAAATAAGAAATTGTTGATTTAGAAACACAGCAGGATCAGCCACATATCTTCTTATTTCCATAAGATAGAGAAATTCATTTTGAGATTTAGTCTTGAGAAATTGTCATTTCCATGTGATTTTTATGTGTCTGTAACTGGTTTGCTTCTACCCTTCAGAGGGAGAATAGGCGTCTACAAGAAGCTAACATGAGGTTGGAACAAGAAAACGATGACTTAGCCCATGAGCTGGTGACGAGCAAGATTGCACTGAGGAAGGACCTGGATAATGTAAGTCCGAGAGGTCTGAAGGGAAAGGTCACACTGAAACACTTGATTTCTCTCTTAATCAAGTGAAATCCTTTCATTTTAGTGTTTGCCATTTTAGTTACCTACAAAGTTTCCCTCTTACGATACAACTTGCTTGTCAGCATTACTTCCCTCCTTTCCTTCAGGGATTATCAGTTATCTCACTAAGCCATACCACATTCTTTTCTCATTGTACACACAATCCCTGACCTCCTTTCCCTCACGTTGATTGGGAGACCTTTTGGCTAGTTCTTATGTTATCACAATTGGCAGTAGCATTTAATCATTATAATTTCCTTAACTTCCCCCTAGACAAGAGATTTTGTTATCCTACATATTTTGTGCCTGTTGAATATTCCGATTGGAATGCGGCTCAGTGCCTCAGCAACTTGCAGTTTCATCAGTAATTTCTGTTGGCCGAATGTTCCATTTTTCTATGCTTCTCCTAATATGAAAAATTTTGAGATGATGGCATTCCTGGCAGGGTGCTTTTCCATTTTCTACACTACAAGCTTCCGTTAGAAGAAGGTGTAGTCTCTCCAGGTTTAGGTTAGGGGTTGGCAAACTTTTTCTGTAAAAGGATAGATAGTAAATATTTAAGGCTTTGTGGCCATACAGTCTCTGTTGCTACTACTTAACTCTGCCATTGGCGCAAAAGCAGCCATAGACAATATGAAAATGAATGAGCATGGCTGAGTTCCAGTAAACCTTCTGTACAAAAATAGATGGCAAGCTGCTTTGGCCCATGGAGTATAGTTTGCCAAACCCTGACTTAGATTTCCCTGCCTAGGATTTTACTCTACTGTTCGTTGGTTTCCTAAGGATCTAGGGATAGGCTCAGGGTTTATAGGGATCCTGCATTATATATTGAACCCCATAGGATGTCCTTGACATCCACCAAAAGTGTATGAAAATTTTGTGTACTAGTGCACCACTTTGAATGTTCGTGCTTTCATTAGATTCTCGTAGGTAGAAAGTCTGTGGTTTCATTAGATTCTCAGAGTGATGAACACATGAGTTGAAGAGAGAGGGCAGCCACCTACCAGCTCTCATTACCGGTCTGTAGAAATAGAAGAATGGTGTAAAAATCTTGGACAGACCTGGATTCTAATACCAGTTACTCTACTTTCAGCTCACTGGAGACACCCTGTAAAATGTGAGGAGGTAGATTAATAGCTGTGTCACAGGGTATAGTGAAAATTACATGATTTGGTATAAAAAGCATCACCAAAAAAGAAGAGGCACAGACAGCGTGAACTCCTCTGCTTGTCATCTCCAAATAGCTTCATGTAACTGGGAAGGCTCCTTCTTCCAGTGTTTGCAGGGATGGTGTTTCAAGGTCATTAGCCCTCAGTGACCAGAACCTGATATCTCTGACTGCTGTTAGCTTACCATAGTCTCATCAGGGCTGGGTTTTCTCCCTGTGGTGCAGACTGCCAGCATGCTCTCTGTTCCTCTTTGTAGAAACACCGTACGGGTCATTCCCTCACTGTTGAAGCATTTGTGCCTAGTGAGTGGAGGGAGGGAGGTATACACTGAGCAGGGACTATGGAAGCAGGGCCAGAAGTGTACACCTGACATGGCCCTTAGAGCAGCTGTGGGTCATGTGGAAAGGAGGTACAGAGGAAAGGAAAAGAAAAGAAAATGGGCTCTGAACAGGAGCCATGTGTTCTGTAATGAAATTATATTAAGAGGCAGCTTAGGCTAAAATTCCAGGTGAATTTTTTAGTTTGAGCTGTTATATTTTCCAGTCACATGGACCCAGTAACAATGTCAACATCTCACTAGTTAGAAGCGGATCGTAGACTACCTATGTTCTTGAAACTTGCCCCTAACCGTGTAAACCTTTTCTCAAGTTGTCCTATCCCGATACAGTAGTCAAAGAATTAGGTTACATTCCTGATACCAGGAGTGAGAAATAATAAAAATAATAATACAAGCTTCCATTTACTGATGATCTGTGGTGCCAGCACTATGATAACACTCTACTACACTCATATCTCTTATCCTTACCTCAACCTTGTGAGGACCATAACATGAGCCCCATTTATGGATCAGGATTTTTTTTTAAACAATCATAAACCTTGAGACTCAGAGAGGTGAAGGCACCCAGGAAGAAGCAGAGCCAGAAATCTAACCCAGGCCCATCTAACAGGAATGCTCAGGATTTTTTTTTTTTTTTTTAAATAATGCCACACTGTCTCTACAATAAATATGAGACAAGAAGCTGTGATTCTGACACATAACAGCTAACATTTCTTGAGCACTTACCAAGTGCTAGACACTGTTCTAAGTGCTTGTATATATTATCTTTTCAAATCCTCAAAATAGCCCGTGTTGTAGAAGGGATGTGTGATTCCCATTTTACTGATCAGGAAACTGAGGCAAAAAGAGGTTAAATATCTTCCACAGATTACCTAGCCTAGTTAGTGGCAGAGCCCTCTGACACCAGAGCCCACACTCCTAACCAGGCTGAAGAGCAGGGCCCTGCTGACTTGAGGGTTCAGGGGCATCCCACTTGGGTCCTGTCTTCCAGCCATCTAACATGCCGAGGAGACAAGCCTTTCCCACAGGGGACTTTCCCTTTCCAATTTAACTTCTCTCGTTTTCTTTTGAATCATCACTGAAAATCAGCTAGTTTCTTCCCCCCAACGAAGGAAGAAATGTAGGGTCTTCTCACCTTTTTTTTTTTTTTGACATTAGGGATTCAGTCGGATTTTTCAAATTTTTTTATTTTTTGTAGAGACAGGGTCTCGCTCTGTTGCCCAGGCTGATCCCAAACTCCTGGCCTCAAGTGATCCTCCAGCCTCAGCCTGCCAAAGTGCTGGGATTACAGGCATGAGCCACTGTGCCCAGCCATATTAGGTTTTTGAAAGAACTTCATTCCTTTCAGTTCTTTGCTTCCTGCGTCCCACAGAAAAGCTCTGGTGTGAGGCTTACACAATTTCCAGAGCCCTCTTTGTATTTCCAATTGATTTTACATCACTTTTGTTGTTCCTCACCTGTCACTTTTGCTATTCTTCACACAGCAGCTGTGGAGAAATTCCAAGTCAGCCACTTAATCCCTGGGTGACCCCAATCAAGCTTTCTCCTCTATGAAATGGGAGTAATGACTAGACCTGACATTGGTGCTGAAAGGATGAGAGGGAACCTTTGGAAGGTTCTTGGCAGGGCTGACAGGATTGTGTCAGATTCCCCTGTGGCATGGTCGCTCCTCTACGGTGAGATAGACATAAGAGTGCAGGAAACTGACTTGGGAGCCCATGTGTGGGGATGTGACCTTTGGCTCCACCAGCTACTAGTACTGTGACCTTGAGCAGGTTGCTAAACTTTCCCAATTGAATTATCTTGACCCTTTTATTAAAAATCAATTGACCTATATGTGTGTGTCTACTTTTTGATCATTTATCTTCTCTATCGATCTGTATGTCTATCCTTATGCCAATACCACACTGTCTTGGTTATTGTAGCTTTATAATCTTAAAATCAGGTCAAGTGAGTCCTCCAACTTTGTTCTTTTAGAAAATTATTTGGCTACTATAAATCCCTTGCATTTCTGTATAAATATTAGAATCAGCCTGTCAATTTCTAGAAATAAAAGCCTTCTGGGATTTTGAGTGGAGTTTCATTGAATCTATAAATCAGCTTGGAGAGAATTGATATGTGAACAATAATTGAGCCTTCTAATACATGAACATGTTACAATTTTCATTTATTAAGGTCTTTCTTGACTTCTCTCGGCAATGTTTAGTTTTCAGTTTATAAGACTTCTACATGTTTTAATCTGTTGCAAAATGGTATTTTTTTTATTTCATTTTCCAATTTTTTTTTTTGGCTCAAACAACAGAAATTTATTTTCTCACAGTCTTGGATGTTAAAAGTCTAAAATCAAGGTGTCAGCGGGGTTCATTTCTTCTGAGGTCTCTCTCCTTGGCTTGCAGAGGGCCACCTTCTTGCTATGTCTTCACATGATCTTCCCTGTCTCCAGTTTTTTATTGCTAGTCTCTACAAATACAGTAGATTTCTGTGTGCAACCTTGTATCCTGTGATCTTGCTAAACTCACTTATCTAGTAGCTTTTTCATATATTTTTCTAGGATTTTCCGCACGTGTAATCATTATCTCTGAATACAGGCAATTTTACTTCATTTTTCTGCCCTTTTTTTTTCTTGCTTCACTGCACTGACCAGGATCTTCAGAACCATGCTGAATGGTGAGGGTGGACATCATGGCCTTGTTCCAGACATTAGCTGTAGGTTTTTCATAGAGCAGGTTGAGGAAGTTCTCCTCTGTTCGTATCTGCTGAGAGTTTTTGTCATGAATGGGTGTTGAGTTTTTAACTGATTTTTCAATGTAAACCAACCTTACATTCCTAGGATACACTTCACTTGGGGTTTCTATTTTTTATTAAGATTTTAACTTTTATTAGATATTTTTATGTTCATAAGGAATATTTGTCTGGTGTTTTCTTTAATGTTTTCATCTGTTTTTGCTATCAGGGTAATTCTGGCCTCATAGAATGAACTGGGAAGTATTCTTTCCTGTTTCCTTAAGGACTTTGTGTAGTATTATTCTTTGATTAAATCCTAAGTTGCCCAGTGAAGTCATGCTGGTTTGGAGTTTCCTTTACAGGCAGTTATTTAATTGTGAATTCAATTTCTTTCTAGTAGAGCTATACAAATTTTCTAATTCTTCATGTGTCCATTTTTATAATTTGTGTCTTTCACGTAATTTATCCATTTCATCTTGTCAAATGTATTGACATAAGGTTGTTGATATTTCCATATTCTTTTAATGTTTATAACAGCTATAGAGATGTCCCCTCTTTTATTCTTGATATATTTGTGTTTTTTCCCTTTTTTTTTTTAATCAATCTAGCTAGAAGTTTAACAGTTGTGTTGATCTTTTCAAAAGCAAACTTTTGGTTTCACTGATTTTCCTCTATTTTGTTTTATCAGTTTCTGCTTTTTATTATATACTTCTACTTTCTTTGGGTTTAACTTGCTCTTTTTCTGACTTCTTAGAGAGGAAGCTTGAATAATTGATTTTGGACTTTCTTTTCTAAAATATGCATTTAAAGTTATAAATCTCCATGTAAGCACTGTTTTCAGCTGCATCCGTTCCGATATATTGTGTTTGGTTTTTTTGTTTTTTTTTTTTTGGTTTTTTGGGGGGTTTTTTGCCATTGAATTGTACACTATTATTTTTTTTATTTCAGAGTATTACGGGGGGTACAAATATTTTGATTACATGGATTGCTTTTGTACTGCTTGAGTCAAAGTTGTAAGTGTGCCCATCACCCAGATAGTGTACGTTGTACCCGTTATGTATGATTTTCATTCAGTTCTGGTTATTTCTTCTTTGACCTAAATGAGTTAATTAGTGGTATATAATTTAATTTCCAAATATTAGAAATTTTTCCCAAAAATTTTTCTGTCGTTTATTTCTAATTTAATTCTGTTGTGATCTGAGATTGTATTGTCTGATTTTAATCCTTCTAAAATATATTGATACTTATTTTACAGTTTACCATATAGTCTATGTCCCACATGCACTTGGAAAATATGTATGTTCTGTTGTGGATGGAGTGTTCCACGCCAGTTAGGTCAAATTGGTTGATAGTGTTGTTCAAGTCTTCTGCAGACTTAGTGATTTTCTCTCTGCTTGTTCTGTCACTTACTGAGAGAGTAGTGTGGAAGTCTCTGACTATAATTGTGCATTTTTTTCTCTTTCTCTTTTCAGTTACGTAGGTTTTTGTTACATGTAATTTGAATTTCTGCATATATTTCAGATTGTTTCACCTTCTTAATGGAGTGACTCCTTTATCATTATGAAATGTCACTCATTGTCCCTGGTAATCCTTATTTGTTCCACAATTTATCTGATATTTATATAGCCACTCCAACTTTCATGTTATTGTATGGCATGTGCATCTTTTTCCAACCTTTTACTTTTAACATATCTGTGTCTTTATCTTTAAAACAGGGTTCTGTTTTGTCCAAATGGGAATTAGCTTTCTATTTGTCCCAAATTTGGGGTTTATTTTTTTCTTTTTCTGCATTCATTGATTTAATTGGGTATTTTCATGGTTTCATTTTTCTCTCCTCTTCTGCCTTATAAGCTAATCTAGAGCCCCCTCCTCTCCAGTGCTCTGCCTGTAGTTTCAGCTGCCTCAGCTGCCCTGACCTTCCAACTGCCTCCTTAACCCTTTGACGTCTTCATGCTCTGCTCGGAACCTAGGCAGAAAGCCAGGGTGAAAGTAGGACTCACCTTGTTTTCTTTCCCCCAAAACCATAGTTCTGCATTTATTGTTTTCAGTGTCTGAAAACAGTTGTTTTACATATTTTCTCCAGTTTTCTGTTTATAGTGGGAGGATAAATCTGGTCCCTGTTAATCCTTCATGAGTGGAAGTCTGGATTTATGTTTATTATCACCAGATATTCTCTCATGCATATGTAAATAAAACAGTGGCTGTGCAATTAGTGGAGTGCCATTAGACGACCCTGGTTGGGTCAGTCAGTAGCCTCTGTGTGTACCTTCCCATTGATGCAGTGTGGAGAATCAGCTCTAGGAGTGTTGGTCCAGGGGCTGGGCTCAATGTCAGATGACCTGCTTTCAGATTCCACTCTGCTACGTACATTGTGAGTGCTTGGGGAAATCACTTCCCTACTGAACTTCTTCATAAACTGGGGGAGTCAGCGTGGGCAGGGAAGACTCTTGAGTTAGAAGAGCCGGTTATCACCTGGCTCTTCCATACTTCTTAGAGTCAGTCTTAGTATTAATCATCATGTGCCATGGTAATGATGATGAGTAAAGGAGAGAACATAAGTGTGTGGCACAGTGCTCCAAAATAACACTCAAAAGATGTTGTCCAAGGGAGAGAGAATAGGTTGTTCCATCGGTTAAAGTAAAACAGAATCTTTAACAGGTCTTCATTCTCCTTACTGATTATTTTCCCGGTTGTTTGATTCTCTCTATTTCCCTTTTGATTGCTTCTTGAGTTTGAGCTAGAGAAGGAGATGATAAGCTACTCCCAGGAAGGATAAGTCTTAACTGCGGGACTCCATTTAATCATCTGCATGTGCAGTCTGCCAGTAATTAATGGTCTTTTGAATTTGCATATCATGCCATTCTCAGTTCACCTTTTAAGGACCATTCCTCTGGAACCTCTTCTTCCCAGAGAAGATATGCGAGTGGAGGTATAGGGTAATGGAAAGCTTAGGGGCTCAGCTATATAACTTTAGCTAGGTAATGTCAGAAACACCTGTTTAATTTCAGAAAATCCACCGTCCACTGCCAAGGGAGATTGTATATAAGTTGCCCAGAAGACACCCTTTATGTCTACTCCTTGATTGTTCTCTAATGTGGTGTAGTCATTCTTCAGTTATCCTTGGAGTGACCAATGTCAGGAACAGATACATAATTTTCATTGAGACTCACAGAACTGCCCACGAGAACTCTGCATGCTTTTGAAAAAGACTAGGTTTGGGGGGCAGCCAATAAAGATGTTAAGAAAGTGTCAGGAAAGGGACATCCTCCTTTATCAGGTAAAAAGGAGAGCAAAATGCAGGACTTGTTAGCAGAAGAAATACAGTTTAGAAGAAAACTAGAGTTTATTAGTACTATTAATAATAATGACAGCTACCTTTTATTGAGTGTGTACTATATTCAGAGGCACTACATTGAATTCTTTTCATGCCTTATCCCTCAGATGAAGAACCTGAAAGTGAGAGGTTCTCAATCACTTAGCCACGAGGCACATGGTCAGTGAACAGTGGGAGTTGGGCCTAGGCTGTCTGATGCCAAAGGCTGAGCTCCTGGTCACTGCCGGACACTAGCCCTGTGCTAGTGGCTGCTCCAGGCACTTCTGCATGAGTTTAGTCTCCTTGCGACCTTGTGGATATTGTTCCCCCTCTGAATCACAGTTCCCCATCATCTTAACATGGGATCGTGCTACGTAATGTAAATCTGTTCCAGTCTCAGTTCCTATTCTGTGACAGCATATCTCAAATGTTTCAGGCTGAGGAAAAGGCAGATGCACTGAACAAGGAGCTGCTGATGACCAAACAGAAGTTGATCGATGCAGAAGAAGAGAAAAGAAGATTAGAAGATGAATCTGCTCAGGTGAGGGGAACTTTGCTCTTCCCCCACTTCCTCTGTGTCCTGCAAATGTTTGAGACTTGGGAGTTCAGCTGGTGGCTTCCTGTTGGCACCAGAGAACCTGGAGACAGCAGGCTTCAGTTTCTCTTCAAAGGCCTTTTTTTTTTTTTTTTAACTGTGTAAAGCATGAGAGTTCTCAATAACCAAAGCCTAGGAAGAGACAGTGGGTCGAAGCCCACCCTTCATTGGGGCAGGAGAATTTCCTGTGTATCAGTGTCTGAGTGTAACAAAGAAGAGGGGGTAGTATTTCTGCAGAAGGAAAGCATACATGATATGTCTGGCTCTCCTACTTGCCCTCTGATGTGTCCCTAATAGAGCAAACTCTGGAAGCCTTGTTCCGAGCTAGTGCTCTACAGTCACTGGGGCACAGACCTGAAGTCAGTAGGACGAGCTCTGGGGGCTGTGTACTGGAGCACACAGGAGGGGAGAGGAGCCCCCCTCCTCTCCCACCAGGTCCTCCAGGGGGCAGGACTGGCTGGAGTGAGAGATGACAAGCACTTTCTGCATTAAAAATGAGGTGCTGTAAAAACTGTAGCCCTCTCCCTAGCCTGTTGGTCTGTGTTTGGTTTGTGCTGCCTGCTCAGCGAAGGTCCACAGGTTGGGTTGCGCTGGCAGGGAAGAACTTCAGCAAAAGCCCCAATCTGGAATGGGGGCTGACATTTTCAGAAGCTTTGACTGTTCTTTCCCTCTCCTGGCACCAAGAACAGGGGATTAATGCTGCCTAATGAAGGAAGAAGGTAGATGAATTAGAGCCCTTCTAGAGTTAGTCAGGTCAGACACCTTCTGGAAAGCCTCGCACTAAACAGTTAGTGATAGAGCTTCCTTTGTTTTTCTATTAAAACATTCACTTCTGCTTTTTTATGTGTGCAGTTAAAAGAAATGTGCCGCCGGGAACTCGACAAGGCAGAATCTGAGATTAAAAAAAATAGCTCCATCATCGGTGACTACAAGCAGGTTGGTTCGCGTACCCTGGCATGGTGTTGTGTATTCTGAAGTCCTGCTTCCCTGGACGAAACGTATCATCTCCAAACCCAAATGCTTCGGCACTCACTCTGGTTTCAAATCCCGGCTCTGCTCCTTGCGTTGATGAGTAACTTCACTTATTCTCAACAGTATAATAAGGAAAATAAACCCTGTCTGGGTGGACCATTGTGAGGATTCAAAAAGACCATGTATGTTGTACAGTGCCTGGCATAGCACCCAGCACACAGTAGGTACTTAATAAATGAAACCCACAGTATGTTTTGGAGAGCATTTAGATTCAGAATTATGGACTTACGTTTACATATGGTGGTCAACCAGTTTTCTCCCTGGCTGGCTGAGTTGTAAGAACGTAACTTACTGTTCCGTCCTATGCCAGGGTCTTAAGCTGGCTCCCGAATCTGGCAGGTGTTCAGGAACCATCAGCCACGGAGTGTGGTGCCGACAGTTCCTGCAGACCTAGGTCGGTGGATGCCTGGGTGGCACAGCCAGATGAACCTTCGCTCACCCATCAACTTCATCCCACCCCCATCCCCAAACAGTAGCAGCCTATTTGGTACCGTGTTAATTCCGTTCAGTGTACTCCAGCTTACACTATAGAATTTATCCTGGGCCAAATTATGCAGGTGGATTACATTGCTCAAGAGATTTTCATTTTCTATTTGTTTCTTCAGATTTGTTCTCAGTTGAGTGAAAGATTGGAGAAGCAGCAGACAGCTAATAAAGTGGAAATTGAGAAAATTCGGGTAAGGCTTCCTTTATCAAAGAGATTTTATACCACCTAGTTCATTTTATGGCTGTATTCCCAGCATAACGGATATTGGGAGGGGGCAGTTGGTTTCAGAAGTGAGAGAAGCTGAGGAGTACCTGATAAGGCACATGTCACAAGGCCTGGCTCAGTAATTGACAACTAATACTATGCCTGTTTTCTCTGGAAAGGGAGTACAGATGAGGCCAAAAGAGCTCTGGCTTTAGATCTCAAAGTACAAGTGCCCAAGACTTCTGAATGCTGTTGGTAAGGCAGTTGGTCACTGCAGTGTGACCCTGAGGTAAAGGAGTCCTGCAAGTGTTGGGTTTTGCTTGAGGTAGGGATGCAGGCGTCAGGATCATATGCTGTGGCTTATGGAGACACTCCACCTGAGCTCATTCCTTCTGCTGTAACAGATTCAAATACAGTGACAACTTTAATTTTTATTTTTTATTTATTTATTTATTTTTTTGAGACAGAGTCTCACTCTGTTGCCCGGGCTAGAGTGCCGTGGCATCAGCCTCGCTCATAGCAACCTCAAACTCCTGGGCTCAAGCGATCCTCCTGTCTCAGCCTCCCGAGTAGCTGGGACTACAGGCATGTGCCACTATGCCTGGCTAATTTTTTCTATATATTTTTTTTTAGTTGTCCAGCCAATTTCTTTCTATTTTTTTAGTAGAGACAGGGTCTCGCTCTTGCTCAGGCTGGTTTCAAACTCCTGAGCTCAAAACAATCCACCCACCTCAGCCTCCCAGGGTGCTAAGATTACAGGCATGAGCCACCGCGCCCAGCCATATTTTTTATTTATTTTTGTTTAGAGACAGGGTCTTGCTAGGTTGCCCAGGCTGGCATTGAATTCCTGGGTTCAAGTGATCCCCTTGCCTCAGCCTCTCAAGTAGCTGGGACTATGAGTACACGCCACCATGTCTGCCTTAGGACTTTAATTTTTTAATGTTTTATTGCCAGTTTAGAGGCTTTTTTAACTTGGTGCTTTCTTTCTTTACACTATACTTAGAGTGCTCATCAAATTTTACTAAAATAAGTAATTTACTGAAAGATGCTTTACTAAGATATTTACAGCTCAGTGGAGAGGAAGTTGGGAAAGTTCTGTGCTTATGGCTATGTTGGCACAAAGCAGTATTATACCTGGAGCAAGTTGACATTGGCCTCCATAATAATTAGTGTTTAACTGGATGTGTCTTCTTAAAAAATTTGGAAAATAGGAGTAAATAAGGGGGAAAAGCTTTGTAATCCACAGATAACATCATTAACACTTTGGTGTATATTCTTTCAGTCTTTGTGTTTAGCATATAAAATTTCATTGATTCTAAGCTAAGCATTTTTTTTCCACATTTCTGTCTCAAAAGTGGGCCTTTTATAATTGGCTTTTTGTGGTTTAATTGGCAGAATATTTTCTTAGAGGAACATAAAATGATGTTTTAATATTGGCATCTTATTTTGATGAAAATGGTATATATTTTATTTGTGACCATATTTTATATACATTTTTATGTCCTCAGCCAGCATTTATCCATTTTCCCACGTTATGAAAAATTCCTTGAAAACCTTTTAGAGGCTGTGTACTTCCTTGTATGCCATACATTTAATTGCTCCCAGTTGTTGGATAGTTTATTCCTCTCCCCCGCCCCCTTTCTTCCTATCTCCAGTTCTACAGTGAAAATTCTTGTACATAAATCTTTATCTGGTCATGGCTTCCTTTTTTTAGCCTGGGTTCCTAGAAGTGAGATTACTGGATTAAGAATATTTTCACTGCTTTTGGTATATAATACCAGGTGACTTTTCCATTAGGTTATCTGCCAGTTTACAAAGAAAGCACAGGTTTTCAGAATCTGTAGTGCTCAGTAGAGAAGCCATCTCTTGGATCTCTTGGCCCCCGCAAAGATGATGTTTACACTATCCTAAAAGACCACTTTCTCCTCTTAGCCTCTTCACATCTCACATTCAATTTCAGCAAAAAGTGGATGACTGTGACCGCTGCCGGGAATTTTTCAACAAAGAAGGACGTGTAAAGGGGATCAGCTCAACCAAGGAGGTTTTAGATGAGGACACAGATGAAGAGAAGGAGACGCTCAAGAACCAGCTGAGAGAGATGGAACTAGAACTGGCACAAACCAAGCTCCAGTTGGTGGAAGCCGAGTGTAAGATACAGGTAACAGCAACAGGACTCAGACACAAGCTTGTGGGCTAGATTTCCTGTTGTGGACGAGCAACCCCAGAAATGATCTTTATAGTTTGGGGGTTCCCCCCCCCCTTTAAACTTTGACCATAATTTTCATGGGAAGAAGCCTAGTACTTGTTATTTGCCAGTAGATATTTAATCAGTATTTGGCCTGGCCTAAGGATTTGGACTTTTGTCATTTTGAGAATTAACTCACAAAGCTCAGAATCTTTTTGGTGGGACAGAGAACACATGCTTTAAAATCACAGCTCTACCACTGAACTCTGACCTTGGGTTAGTAACCTCTCTGTACCTCAGGTTCCTCATCTACAAATGGCAATGATAAGAGTCATGATGGGAGGTTGTTTTGAGTACTTAAATAAGATAATGCATAGAAAAGTGTCCAGAGTGGTGGGAGCTTTATAAATGTAAGCTTTCATTGTTCCAACTCCTATCGCTTAACTACTTTGTGACCTTGGATACATTACCTAATTTATCTGAGCTTCCATTCCTGATGAAGAAATTAGCACTTATTTTGGTCAACTTTACACTGCATTGCTAGTTCCACCGGCACCACTAAGCACTAAGCATTGTTTGTGGAAGGAACCAAGTTCAGGACAAAGCTTAGGGCCAGGTCTCCCTCATCAACACACACTCACTGGCATCTGCTCTTTGCCAGGCCCTATTCAACGTGTTGGGATTGCAAAGCTAAGACATGGCGGTGTGACAGTCCAGGACACTCAGGAAAGGTGTCACAGTAGCTGAGCTGTGATCAAAGAACGAACAGGGGTTGCAGCTGCAGAAGAGAAAGAACAGTGTGCATTGCAGGCATAGGCAGTGTTCAACAGCACAGAGGAGAGGGCCTGCCCAGTAGGGAGCCTCAGTTCCTTCCTTCCATGAAGTGGGGGAGAGTCTGTGGGCCCAGATTGTGAAGCATCTCAAATGCCATGCTAGGAAGTTTAGACTTCAAAGGTTTTTGCTGGAAATTAATGATGCAGTCAGAGCTAGAGCACTAGACATCTGTCTGGTGTGCACTGGGTGGGCAGGAGAGGGAGACATTAAAGTAGGAGGCTGTTTGCATAAATAGACCAGGCAAGAAATGAGGTCTTAACTAAGAATGCTCCCAGATCTTTAGGCATGCCAGGCCTTTTGTATGCCAGTTTGAAACGGGGGAATTTCCCAAGGCCTCCATAGAATAAATAGACCAAATTCTTGTCTTGGCTCAGCTCTGGGGAGGCAGTGTCACTTGATAATTGGGCCCAGCATCCTTATGTGTGCGCTGTTCTCTTGCAGGACTTGGAGCACCATTTAGGCCTTGCCCTCAGTGAGGTTCAGGCAGCGAAGAAGACATGGTTCAACCGAACGCTGAGCTCCATAAAGACGGCAACTGGGGTTCAAGGGAAAGAGACTTGCTGAGAGCAGCTGCTGCCTCCAGACACCTTCAGAAAACACGACACCTTTTGTTGCCTTCTTTGGCCAGATGTGTGATTCTGTGACATGTCCCAGGACCGGAATGTACCTAAGTCAGATCTGTAGACACATGTTGGTAGGTCATTGGACCAGAGCTCATGAAGCAGGCAGCCTCTGGGGTAAGACTACTGATACTAACAGGCCTGCTAGCTCAGCAGATGCTCTAGACACAATCTAGAAATCACTCCTCAGTGTGACCTCCCAGGCCCCTTCCCTGTGTAGGTCAACACGTCACCCAGCTTAAAGGCTGAGTTTACA